GGACCAACCGCTTGTTCTCAGAGCCAGGACGGCCAGCAGCCTCCATCCTCGAATCCCTGAGCTCTGAAATAGCTGGTGGGGGTTGAGGGAGAAAAGAGGTGGGAAAGATATGAGACCCAAGAGGCCTCACCGAGAGGTCAGGGCTCACAGAAAACAGCACCCCTAACCCATACCCGCCTCTTAAGACATGGGGGCCAGAATCCGATACCTTTACTAAGAATCTATTTAATCCTGTTTCATTACCACGGCTCCCACGAACTGAGTGCTCATCCCAAGTCGTCTACACGTGAGGTCTCAAGTAAATCTAAGGAAAGTTCAAAATGGAGGCTGGAAGGGGTCGAGTTACTTGCCCAGGTCACTCAGCGGGGAAGAGGCAGAGGCCGGCTTCAGACTCACAAGTCCCTGAGTGTGGGACCAGTGCTCCTGGCCACCACTCTAGGTTTGGCTGCACCTCTTAACGTCAACGCTTATCGAGAAAGAAACAAAACATGAATACATTGCAAAGTGACGAATAAAACCTAATATAAAAAAGAGGTTAAATCTCAACTTTCAAATAAATAAACTGATGCGTGGTATCATAGTAGGCATTTTTTACGATATAAAGTATTATATTAACTCCCTTTAAAAGTAACCTCATTTGTTTTGAGTCTTAAATCGGGCTTTTTCTCCCTTGGCTAAATGTGCTTCAGCCATTTCCTGGTCTGTGAAGTAAAAGTAAACAAATCTCCAGTGTTTACACTATGCGCTAGGCACTGTGTGTGCTCAGTACTTTTATGTATGCCATTTGATATAATGCTGACAACTGTAGGCTCAGAGAAGTTAATTAATTTGCTGCAGGTCACACAGCTAGTAAGAGACAGATTCTAACCCAGGCATTTCTGACTCCCTTGCCAGACTCCCCAGCCAGAGTTGCCACCTGGGTGAGTGCAGGGCCCATCCCCCTGACTTTCGCCTTCCCCTCTTCCTCTGTCCACCCACCAAAATGAACACAATTATTCGAAGGGAAGGAGGTCAAAATGGTCAAGGTCATGAAAAACAAGGAAAGACTGAGAAACTATCACAGACCATAGATGACTGAGGAAACACGACAGCTAAACTCAATGTGGTGCCCTGGGATTCTGGATTGCAAAAAGGACTTTGGCAGGGAAACTGGTGAAATCAATGGCTGGGTCCTAATGAGTCTCCTACCTTCCCTCCTGCTGCCCTGTAATCCATTCTCATGTAGCTTCTAGAATCATCTTTCCAAAGCACAAACTTGACCATGGCTCGTTCTCCTGCTGTGGCTCCTCCTCACAGGGTCTGTCTCCATCTCCAGCCTCTCCTCACTTCTCCTCCCTAGCTCCGTGGCTCTGCTCCAGCTTCGCTGACCGGGCAGCTGTTCTCAGAAAACACCACCCTCTGGACCTTTGCTTGACGCATTCCCTGTCAGCTCCACACCACCTGGCCTGCAGTTAGTATTACAGATCTCTGTCTCTATCTCTCTCTCTCTCTGTCTCTCTCTCTGTCTCTCTCTCTCTCCTCTCTCTCTCTCTCTCTCTCTCTCTCTCTCTCTCTCTCTCGCTCAGTTTAGACGGCATTGTTTTCCAGGAAGCCCTCCCTGATGCCCTTGCTCCCAGGCCTGAGTTAAGCTCCCTCCCCTGAGTCCCATGACACCCTGTAACTGGCTCCCATCATAACGCTTCTCATCCTGAATCATATTCATATTATATAATGTGCCCCTTCCCTCTCACACAAGTGAGTCCTCACTTCTCTGGAGCACGAGGCGCATGCCCAAATGTGGCATTAAATAGCATTCGCTCTCATTGTGGAGAGGTTAGTCCTTCGCAGCTGCTTCCTCCGTTTCTCTGATTGCTCAAGAATGATGTTAGCCTGTCTTCGACATTCTCTGTTAATCTTTTTATTTTCAAATAATACCAGATCAAGCCTAAGATGGGCACTTGCCATAGGCAAAAGGATTTAGCTTGAATTTAGGACATTGTTTTGTTTTTATTGTATTTATTTTATGTATAAAATACTATTTGTGGAAAGCAATACAAGTTTTTCTTCTACATAGACCAGCCATCTTTTATAAAATTAATTTGTATGAGTAAGGGAAGTAAATCGATTTAGAAAAAGTTTGGTAAATGGCTGTACAGGTGGCGTGTAGGTGATAAAATCAGGCGCGCATACATGCATACATGCATGCAGTCGTGAAAGTTCCCCTGCATGACAGAAACCCTGTCATTACTACGGCTAAGTCCTTGTCATGAGACATGGCGTACTGCTGTCTTTGCCACCAACTACCTGCGTGGCTGGGAGAAAATTACTTTTCTATTTCTTGGCTTACTCACCTGTAAAAAGAAGAGAGCAAAATTGGGCCACAAAATTATATGATTTCATCTCTCAGATACAAATCCCTTCTCCTGCTCACACAGTACGGTAATAACTTCACTGAAAAGGAACCCAGAGGTGATCATACGTTTTGTGTTAGAGATCAGAGATCTGAGATACATAGAGGTTAAGTGACTTACACAAGGCCACATTTCAATTAAATTTAAGGCCAAAATCCAAGTTTCTCCAGTTCCTGGTGACCTGTTTCCCCACGCTCCACCATTCTGAAACCCCCTTACAAAGCACAAGCACACACACACACACACACACACACACACACACACACTATAAAGACAGCTTAAAATAATGGAAAAGCAAACAAAAAAAGAACAAAGGGCAATATTGGATTTCAGAGCATTAACAGTGTTAAATAGGGAAGTAATGTACCTGAAAGCTGAGAAAACATGTCAGGGTTTTCCACGGTGTTGTAATTCCCTCCTCGTTCTTTATGTAGGTTAAATACAGGAGCCAGGAGCCAGGAGCCAGGCAGGCCAATCTTTGAGAGAGGATTAGTATGAAGTGGCTAACCAATTCATCTTTGGCTACTCTGCATGTATAATAAACCCTGATTAAACAGATATTAGATCCAATCACCTCTTCGCCTTCTGTGAATCGTGAAAAACAGCTTCAACACGATTCCAAAGGGAGTAGTTACCCATATTTTAAAAATGGGATTTTTAAATACTTTTAAAGATGATTTTAGCAAACAATTTGCATGTAGGATGTAGTCATTGCGATGATACAGTAAAATGTTTTCCTTGTTAAAAAATATAGTCCTACTCTTGTCTTTGGAAGTAGTTAGAGGCAGATTTACCAGATTTATAGGTGAACCAAAGTGCATAGAGTCAGAAAATTTTAACCAAAATTCCCAATGAAATATAAAGTGGGTAGATAGATATAACACACTTCATATGTATGTGTGTATATATATATACACACACACACACATATATATACATACACACACATATATATACATATATATGTGTGTGTATGTATATATATGTGTGTGTGTGTGTATATATATATACACACACACACACATATATATACATACACACACATATATATGTATATATATGTGTGTGTATATATATATGTATGTACACTCACACACACATATACATATACACACACACGTATACACACACACATACACACACACACACACAGAGAAAGATCTGGCCAAACAGAAGCTCATATGAGATGTTTCAGCTGATCATAAGCCCAATGTGAGCCAATAGTAAGATGTGGCTGCTGAGGATAGGGGGAGAAAAATTGTAATGCAACATTAAAATACAACGTTAAATAACATTAAGTACGGTAACATCCCTCTGTACTCTCCACCCGCCAGCTAGTACCAAAAGCCTGGTGCAGTTACGGGAACCACACTGTCAGAGAGACAGAAATTGGCACTTGTCCAGGAAAATAATAGGTCGGTGGAAGAGGGTCTGTAACTTGAGTCAAATGGGGAATGGGTCAGGGCACCAGCTGCAGGGCCAGGCAAGCCTTCTTCAAATACAAGCTGCGTAACCATAACTGTTCTGGAGGGCATGTGCCCCGCCCGTCTCCCAGGGATGCTGCTGAAAGGACTCTGCATGGGAGGTCGGACTCCTCCACAACACCCTTCTTCGCTCAGGATTTTATGGTTTGTGATGGGAGCAAAACCACATCTATTTGACATGGTAGTGAATTAGGTCACGTCATTTCTTTCCTGGAAAAGAATACTCTGTAGACAACATTCTGACAACCAATCAAGGTCCTAAGAGAAAATACGATGTCCGTAGACAAGAAGATGCAATGTTGACTGTTGACTCCTCTGACCGCCCACTTCCCGCCCTGCCACACCTCCAACCATCTGGTTGGCCCCAGAAGCTAGAAATTCAGGAAGGAGGGTCTGACAGTCAAATCAAAGCTGCAGGGCATCAGGTGGCGAGCTAGATCTTTTTGTGTTCCCACAGTTCAGAGCAAGGGTGAACCTGTGTCAGGATCACTTGAGTTGCTCATTAAAAATGTATGGTCCAGGGGCATCTCCCAGACCTCCTGAATCAGAATTAGTGGGGCAGGCAGCTTCTGAAATGGCCCCCAATAATTCCCTGTCTCCTGGAATTCACACCCTTGGTCCTTCCCTCCCTTTCTGGGTGGGCTGGCTCTAGTGACTCACTTATAATGAATAGGCAAAACTAATGGGATGTAGCTTCTGAGGTTGGGTTATGAGAAGCCTGTGACTTCCTTCTCTCCCTCTTCTCATTGCTCACTCTGATGAAGCTGGGAACTTGGGCAGCCTCTGGCCAACAGCGAGTAAGGAGCTGACTCCTGCCAACATGATGTGAGTTTGAAATCAGATCATGCCCTAGCTGAGCCTGAGAAGAGAGCAGCCATGGCCGACACCCTGATTGTAGACTTGTGAGCCACCCTGAGCCAGGGGACCCAACTAAGTCACATTTGGATTCCTGCCTTCCTACAGAAACCATGAGATAATAAATATTCCAAGTTGCTACGTGTGTTATTCAGTGATTGATAACTAATAGAAATTCTTCATCAAAGAGCTATCCTGAAATCAACATGACACCCATCCTTCAAGTCTCCCATCCCATCCCTCCCTAAGATAAAGAAGACAAATGTCTGCGTAAACGTAAATGGGTGATATTTAATAACATACACTATTTACATGTAATCTACGTCATCATTTTCTTAGGGCTCAGTTTCCATGCCCTGGCCCTCGGGAAGCTTTCCCTGGCTTTCTAGGGGGTCACAAGGGAGCAGGGCCTCAGGGCAGGATGGAGACAGTGAATCCAGGTCAGACTTCCAGCTGGCCATGCTGAGGCTGCGTCCTTTGGGCTCAGAGCATAGTGAATTCCTGCCTGCCGGTCTCTGAGAGCAGGAGGAGTGACAGCTCCTTTGGTCCTGGCTAAAGTGAGAGGGAAGAAGCTCCCGGTGTCTCCACCAGCAAGGGAAGGGGTCTTTCCCTGAGCGAAGCCGGCAAAGGGCCAGAGTCCGGCCTGCCTGCCTTGTCTCCAGTGCAGTTGCTGGCTCCCCCACTGAGGGAGGAGCTAGGTTTTCTGGAGACAAGGTTTCAGTTGCTGTCAAGAAAGTGCATTTCAGAGGCCATATGTGTGGAAGGGCCGCAGTGAGCTGGTAAGGCCCTAGACACAAAGCTAGGACTTCTAATCCCTGCCCCATCATCCGCTCTTTGAGTGGCCAGCCCAGACCGAGCCTCACTTCCTCTGGACTGTGTTCTTCCCATTGTAAAATAAGGGGGCTGGGCCTGGTGATGACTGGGACCCTCCAGTTAGTGTCTAGAAGCCGTGGCCATGGAAACTGATCAGAGGTGGGACAGCTCTCCTCAGAGGGCCAGGCCCCCACCACTCAGCCACCGTGACCTCTCTGAGGAGCGCCCGGAGGAGCTGCTGTGCCACAGAGAGCTCTGGCAGACGTCGTCCAGCCTGTTCCTAATGGTGTCCTGCAGCTCCTCGTCACCCAGCAGGACCGCTGCGGCCAGGGCCAGCCAGAAGTACTCAGTGGCATCGTGGGCATCCTAACCCCATGGCATGGGGGCAAAGAGGAGACAGCATTAGCAAGCATTTCCAGGAGCGGCTGGGAGGCAGTGTGGGAACCCTAGCTTTCGTCTGCAGGGCATACTTTCTCACCCCTTCCCCTGGTTCCTTGGGGGAGCTCCTCCCTCACTCCACTGCAGCCCAGGACATGGCTACGCCCAGCGACCCTCCTCCCCAGGCACAGGGTGGCATCTCACCCAGGCTTGGCCAATCAAGAAGCAGCATCCCCCTGGGCACAGTGCTTCTGGGATGCATAAACGACTCAAGCTGACCTACTCCAGCCCTCCCCAGGAACCTTCAGTGTGACCTGACAGAGAAAATGGTCCCTTACCCTTTTAGACGCAGGCTTCAGCCTGCCAATAGTGGGAGAGGAAGAGACCAAGAAACAGAGAGAAGTAGAAACATGCAGAGCTAAGAGACAGCCCAGCCCTCCCCAGGAACCTTCAATGTGACCTGGCAGAGAAAATGGTCTCTTACCCTTTTAGACTCAGGCTTGAGCCTGCCAATAGTGGGAGAGGAAGAGACCAGAGAGAAGTAGAAACATGCAGAGCTAAGAGACAGACAGAGGTGGGGAAATGTAGGGCAGCTTTTGAGTGCCAGCATCCAGCACTACCGGAACCTAAGTTTATACCTAAATTTCCTCGTTATTTAAGCCAATAAATTGTCTTTTTTTGCTTAAGCTGTTTGAGTTCTTTCCCTGACACTCCCTAGAGCCTTTAGGGTCTAATCACGCACACACTTTGTCCCTGAACCAATTCCTGGGAGTGTGGGACAGAGGCAAATGACGGTGGAGTCACTACCCCATCATCCCTCCCTATTTGCAGGGATGCGGAACAGAAGCTTCTTTGGATGAGACTCAAAAAGGGCTATCTGGTTCCCCTTCACCCTACTAAGTCAATAATTAATTCAAGCCAGAATCAATGTCTGGAAAATAAGAAAAGAACAGCAACTCTCAGAATCCACTAAATTAAGAGACAAAGGCTAGCACTGGAGCAGACAGGGACCTCTGGTAAAGTGAAGTCATTGCCTGGGGACAAGATTCAAGGGCCAGAATTGTAACAGAATTTAAGACCACCAACTCAGTTCTAGAGGTAGATGGGAAAATAAGAAATTCTGGATTCAACTCCAGTAGAGCAAACGGGAGAATCCAGGGTGAGGTCTTCTTAGGGCCTAGGCATGCAGGCATTGGAGGACTCCACACCAATATGTTATCTCTAGCATATTAACATATACACAGATTTCTCCTAAACATAGTTTTATATAACTTTATAATAAGTGAGTTTCAATTAACTAGTAAATCTATAAAATTTTATAGACACACATTAAGCATTAATTTTTATTTTAATTTTGGAGCGTGCAGTTGTTTTGTTTTGGGTCTTATTTTTTCATGGGCCCTTAAGAGGCTCACAGGCACTAGGCAATGTGCCCGTAGCAACTGAGAGCTAAAGCAGCCTCAGAAATCAGAGCAGAGCGAGGAGAAAGAGCAGCTATGATCCGTCACCTCAGCAGAGAAGGGAACATCTTTGAGGTCTCCAATGGGCTAAGTGGCAAGAGCCATTGGGTCCCCAGTGGAGCCCCTCCCCACCTAGGAGACGAGACTCCCCATCTGGGACCGTCTCCACTCCACCCTGAAGGCTCTTTCAGGATGGCAGCTCTCACACACCGGGAGCACGGCTCTTACCTTCAGCTGGTAGAAGGTGAGTTGGCCCAGACGATAATAGACCTTTGCATAATACAGGGCCTCCTTGGGACTCTGCAGCCAGGCTGGACAGAGGGACAGTGTCTTCAGGTAGCAGTCTTCAGCCATCTCGTACATGTTCAAGGAATAGTACACCGTAGCCAGACGGTGAAAAGCCACCAGCTCCTGCTTCTGATCTCCTAGGAGTTGGAAGACTGAGACAGAGATCCTGCGGCCAACACTCTGCATCATTCGTTCACTCATTCATTATGTAAAATTTTTTGAAAGTTTATTAGGTATCAGGGATTGTGCTTGGGACATAGATAACAAAGCAGAAGAGGTCCCTGCCCTTATGAGGCTTATTGTCTCCTAGGACACAGACATTCCTTAAATAACCCCACAAACAATGGCAAAATTATACCTGTGATAAGGGCTATAAAAGAAAATACAGAGCTCTCTGGGAGTGACTAATGAGAGTATGTGTGCTCGTCAAAATTTTCTGGGATCATTCCTGAAAAAAAATTTCTCCTTATTACAGATGTTGCTGTAACTCAAGATTCTGGGAAATAATTATTTCCAAATCGCTGTGATGGGACACAGTGACAAGACTAACTTAATGGAGTAGCTAAGTATTCTTTAAAATAAATAACTCTGTATAACAAACGTCTTCTCCACATAAAGACTCTCTCTCCAGAGAGCTCGGGGCCGATAGACAGCGGTCACCACTGCTCCTTTACCCACCCGCAGTCTCAGACAAGCTACAGATAACCCGTTCACTTATAACCCACACTCTAGAACCCTAGAACCCTCATACTAACGTGTCTATGACTCATTGTTTCGGTTTCTTGGGAGTTGTCGTTTTAATAACTAACTCCTTTAATACAAAGTGGCTTTTTGAAGAGAATGAAGGCTTCCAATAATCTGAGTTTTTTTGGCAATATTTGAAAGGTGGCTGTTAAATGTGATCTAAAAATATCACTTTTAAGCTTCAAAAAGCCAAAAGCCCAAATTAAAAGAGAAGATTCAAGGAAGAGAAAAATTCTCTGATGTGGAAAAGCCCAGTCATGGGGAAGTGCATGAAAGGGTGGATATAACCTCTTTTCTGCTTCTGTCCAGGAAAGGACAGTGTCCGAGAGGGGGCTGCCTGAGGTCCCCAAGGCCTCTCCTGAGATGAGCAGACAGTCGCAGAGATAAGGTCTTTTGCAGAGCTCTGAAGTGCAATTAGACACAATAAAGTCCAGTACCATTCACATCTCGCGTCATTGAGAATGCCCAGAAGTCCCTTCTAGAATCATCTCAGAAGACTCCATTTGTCTCTACATCTAATCAAGCCTCCTCTAATCAAACCTGCTTTCCCTCCAATGAGAAGGGTTTTTGGGTTTTGGGGTTGTTTTGTTTTGTTTTGTTTTGTTTTGTTTTGTCTCTATTTATTCTGCCTTCTTTCCATTTTAATGACTCGTATTGTTTCCCACTAGCTTTTGTGGTAAATGCAAACTATTTCAGATACATAGTGAGTTAATTTAATGGAAATTTGACTTTCATTTACATTTCCATTCCATGGGGAAAATATACATTTGACTAACAATCAACCAATTAAAAATTTAGGGCACAGTTGAGTTATAGAGGGCAGTGCCTGTGCATAAGATAAAATTCCATGTGCCAAGTACTTGGAGGATAATACCAACTGTAATATAATAATCGGTGGGTATAGGTAACACTTACCAAGAACTTATTATGTGCCAAGCACTGTGCTGTAGGTGTTACCTGGCTAATCATTGGCCTTCATAACAACCACATGAGATGGAGGTGCTATTTTTAACTCCGATTTGCCCAAGACAAACTTGAGGCTTACAGACTTAAGCAGCTTGCTTAATTAAGGTCTCCCTGAAGTTGAACCTATGCAGTCTGACTCCAGAGCCTGTGCAGTGATTACTCTGTGCCTCCCTGGGGAGTGTTTACCACTCCCGTTCAATACAGAACCACTTACCTGTGACTGTGCTGAGTCTGGCTGCGAGGGTGGCAAACTCCAAAGCCTTGTCATAGCCTTCCAGACTGATCTGCAGCTCCGTCAGTTTGTTGAAAATCCGGAGCTCAGTCCTCACCGCCTTCGTCCTCCTTGCTAAAGGAACAGCCCCAGCCTGAGAAGAGAGGCATGAAGAACCTAGGTCTCCCAAGAACCACTGCTCCGTGCAGCACTCTAGGAGGCTCACGTTCCACTGCCGGGTTGGGGAATGGTGGCGTCTAAAACCAAGGGGACAGACAGGTCATGTTCCCGCGCACGACTGTTCTCAGTTCACTCTCCTGGTCCTTGCTCTCGGTTGCTGTGCCCAGATCTTAGAGGTGGAAGAACTAGAGGTCATCGGCCTCCTAAGACTGGGGAAACTGGGAGCAGGAAAGTTACTCGCTTCCTAGCCATGCGCTCCCCCGGTACCCACAAGGCTAATGTACACGGTACATATACAGAGTGTGCACATAGTGTCTGAGAGTGCCCAACGAACGGTCATTTCCATCATTTTTATTATGATAGGATTTTAGGCAGGTCAATTCATCTCACTGAGCCTGTTTTCTCGTTTATAAAATGCATATGACAACAAGCACCTCAATGGTCAGAAATGTGTTTCTTGTTCTCCCCACCCCTGGCTCAGTGCCTGGCACATATTGGGTGCTTGATAAATGTGCAATGACTGAGTAAACAACTGAACAAGCAAATTAATGAACATCTGAATAAGTAAAATTTTAGGATCAAATAAGATATTGATGTTTTCCCAAACTTCAGTCGGTGATAACAATTACAATTTTCGACATATCTGCTTGACGTCTGGACATTTATTTAATTAGTATTATTTGTTAAGTCGATTCTCTTTTATTATCTTGCCTCATTCTTTGCAATAACATTTGTGAAATCACGAGTGTGATGAGTTGGTGTTATACATTTTTAATTTTTTTTAAATATGTTTTAATGCATACTAAATACAAAAAAAAAAAGTGTTCATCCATGGACCAATCATCTCCCACCAGTGGTACATGAAGATAGTCTGGTAAACACAGAAGTGTGTACAAACTGTAAAGTGCCATGGACCCAAGGGATGTAATTATTATGGTTTGTTCTCCCAAGAAGAATAATTTATCGAGCCTGAGAATGAGAATTTATCAGATCCCTCTTTAGAGGGAGAGTATGTGGGTACAGGATGAGGAAGGAAAGAAAAAGAAATACCAGCAAGAGAGGGGAAGGGGTCCAGGCTGAGTCAGTGTGGCTCTGCCGCCACCTGTGCCAGGGCCTGGCTGGGCACACCGCGCAGCCGGGGACTTACTCGGTAATACTCCACGGCGCGATGCCTGTGGCGGGTCCCGTTGAAGAACACGTCACCCGCTTCTTCATAGAGCTTGAGAGCCAGAGAGGGCTCCTCTGACGTCAGGGCTTTCTGGATGGCGGCCTGGGTAGGACAGAGATAACTGTCAAAGACGGAGAGAAGGGCTTCAAATGTTCACAGGACTGGCCAGAGCGAGATCCTGATCACCTAGTTTAAGCATCTGCCAAAGTCCCCAGAATCCTGAATTGTCCTCCACACTCACTGAGCTGGTGAGTGAGCTGGTAAGAAGCCTTCGACATTCTCTAGTCCGGCACTCTCCCGCCATGGCATGAGAGAGTACGTGGTATGGCCCTAGAATGACTTTTAGCAGTACACAGGTAAATATTTTATGTTTTAATAGCTAAGTATTTGTTTTCATGTGTTTTAAGAAAAAAAAGATTAATAAAACATCAAAACCTGTGATTTCAGATAGAAATGCTTATTATAAAAAGCTAAGCTGACTTGAAGTTGAGTCAAAGTAAAATAAGTAAAAAGTCGTACAGATGGTACATGGATATGGCGAAACCATGAACTTGATGTTTAAATGACTGAACTTCGGAAAGCAGTAATCTTATCTCATTCAACATCTGTACTTTCCAGATGGAGAAACTAAGGCTCAGAAAAATTAAGAAACCTCTCCATGTTCATATCAGTAGTTAGGGGCAAAAAAAATGCTAGGGTCTTCCAGCCCCATGCTCTCTCCTAGCCCCCCGACCTCTTTCTCTCTAGCAAGCTGTTTCACATTGCTCTGAAACAAATTGTGATGAAGTGGCACCACGGCATCAGCAGCACGGCTGCAGATCGTTCCCACTGATTCACTTCAGTGGGAATGACCCGTAGAACTACGAGTTAATGGCAGTGGGTAAGCTGGAGACCACTCTGGGGCAAGACCCCACAATAATGGCCATTGCATTTGCAGCTACAGAGAGGGAGGGGCGGTGAGACGGAATCCTGGGGACAGGAGGCTCTGCCACCCAGCCACAGACAACCCAAACGGCTCCCTCGAGGACTCTGCTTCGTTGGAGGATGCCATGAGCCCACTGAACTGTCTGCTCTCTGAAAATCTTTCCAGCTCTAAAAGCCCAAGGCGGAACAGATAGAGTCTGAGAGTGAAAGCTTAAGTCTCACTGCCAGTGGGCGGTCTCACCGCTTACTAGCTGTATCTCCTTGGGCAAGTTACTCAGCCTCATTGAACCTCATTCGTAATGCAGGAATTTCCATAGAAACTCCTGCAGCACTTGTAATGAGGATTAAACTACATCGTGCATATGACGTGTTTACCAAAGTCTCCTGTGCACAGTAAGCATTCGATCAATGTTACACAACCATTATTAAGTCTAGGTGGAAGAGAGTTTATGCAAGTGTGAGAAATGTAGTAAGGGGGAGTGAAAGGGGGGAAAATAAGAAATGGGAAGGAAGAAAAGATGACAGGCATATTTCTGATGGAATGAACCTTCTTATTGATCATCATAATGTCAGTATTGTTTAGACGACAGTAGTAATAATAAAATAATACCAGTGCCGACGATGATGAAATACCATTTTTAAGCATTTACTAAGTCCCAAGCACTTAATAAATATTTACTCAGCATATGTGTTTACTATGCAAGTGAAATACCCAATCCTTCTTAGAAATAGGGTTCACCCATGAAGAAATTAGAGCCCAGAGAGCTCATGTGGCAAGCCGAAGGTCACACAGGTCATAACTGATGACCCTACGATTTGATTCCAGGCCTGTCTTTCTCCAAGACTCAAGCCTTAAATTACTACCCTGTGCCATATCTCAGATAGTAAAGGTATGCAAACAAAAAATCATAAGAGAACAGTAATGTTAACACCCTGCACACATCAACCTTGCCTCAAATTTTAGCAAATCTCTGACACCAGATTACGTGTCCAGCTTTGGAGAGATGGGTGTACTTGACGTGACAGGTGCGGGAGTCTCCCAGCACGTCCTTCAGGAGCTCACGCACGTGTGTGGGCTCCGGGACCGGCCCTTCGCCACCTGCACTCAGCCCACCCGGCTGCTCTGCTAGCCGTCTTGTAAGCAGGGAGTGAACCAGTGCTGACCCTCCGTCCAGGGACTTGGCAAGGATGTCACCTCTCTCTATCCAGATGGTCACTTGGGAGGGGACAGCTGCCTCCTTGAACCAGGTCAGCAGATGAGCTCCGCGGGAGGCCTACCTGCAGGTACAATTCCACCAGCTCGTCTTCCTGCATGAGGTAGTGGAGTCGTCCAGCCCCCAGCCAGGCCTCGGCAGCCTTGTCTCTCTCCCCCAGGTCGATGAAGATGCGCAGGCTCTCTTTGATGCAGGTGAGAGACCTCCTGAGGGACCTGAGGGGGCGGACATGGACTCATAAGGTGTGAGGGCTCAAAGGGGCCTCAGCTCAGGAGGAAACTTGAGGCTCTGGGAGGGAACAACATTGTTTCAGATCACGCAGGGCGGTCTGGGCCTGATTTGAATCCAGACTCTGCCTCTACCAGCTGTGAGACCTTGAGAAAGTACAGGACCGCTCTGTGCCTTGGTTTCACCA